TAGGCGTCACTATCACGTCACGCATTGGATTAACTTTTAATATACTGTAAAAGACTTTATTTTAGCTGGAATTAATTTTTGATGAAAAGACCTTTTGTGTGTTTTGTATGGAATTTATTTCCACTAATTTTTGACAAGTTGAATGTGAAATATAGAAAAAAGGTATACTCGCTGCATTTTTATTTTCACTGAATTATTCCTTCAGCGAAAATTAATTATTACCATAGTATTTAATGAATTAAAAGTATTCTACAGTAGTTGAATTAACTTTTATTATAGTTGCCATATGTTTGGATTAAAATGACTCTATATAGAGTTGTGATTTAATTAAACTCAATTACAATGCAATTCAACATTGCATTTTAATTCAAGTTTAATTAAATAAAAGTAGAAATAACATACATCCTGTGACCTGTAAGTACATTGTATACCCCCTTTACTAACCCTAAGCTACGCAAATGTGACTTTAAATTTGATTAAATTGGGGTATCAAAAAGTCAATTTTACCCAACAAGCCTCATAACTGTCAACTATTACAAATAATTTCAGAGGGAGAAAAAGAGAATACTGTATTTGTACAATGACTATCTCAAGAAACGTGTGGGATTCTTAAAGCATATGCAGAAGAAAGTCAGAAGACTGGCAAAGGAGGAAAAATTAATGGCAAGTACATTCAGCTGAACCAATATGCCCCAATTTCTCTTGGGGTATGCGCTTTTGATAGAGAAATACAGTACATGTAAATATTTAGAATCTGTTAATTTTCACTACTAGCAATAAGCCTGTCATTGTTACTGAGTAATAAAAATACTGACTTAAAAATTCTAACATACTTAATGCTCGAGTAGAGAACAAAAAACAATGGATACCCCAGTATATTTACCATTGAGTGATGTTCAGACAATTCAGTACATCATAGTTATTAATAATGGACTTGGTTTGTGACTTTTTCACAGGCAGATAATGGCATCTTAACCTCGTTACGATACACTTTCCCTATACTGTGTTGCTGTCTTGCTGTGCTCGGACTTGGAAAGAAAAACTGCTTGATTTGTGAAGAGAAAGAAAAAAAGGATTTCCACCATTGTACAAAAGAATCTTGTGATATGGTATACTGCGCTCAATGCTGGAATGACACTGATGTGAGTAAGCAAATCTCATCTATGTGACATCAATGGTTAATATTGGTCAAGTGAGTCAACTGTGCTGTTTATAAAGCTATGCAGTAAGACTTAAATCACATCTGTATTGTATACATTATGTTGTCACCTGCAGATCAAGCGTTTTGAACACTACTATAATTATATGCTAAACTATTTTCTTATTTTCTATTACAGAATGAATGTTACGCTTGTTCCCCATATAGTTACGATGATGATACAGATTCCAGTGATTGGGAAATGGAGTAAGCTCCAAATAAGGAGAAACAACTGACTTACCAAATATGGACATGAAAGCAACTTTAATACTTTTATCTGCAGTATCATACAATTATTGTAGACTAGGTTTTTATATTTACATACAAATTTATTAAATAAACAAACAGCATGTTATGATTACGATGCATACCTAGTAAGACATGAATATTCATGAGTATTCTGAATATATATAGTATGCAAGTACACTGTTTTACTGCAGCAGAATGTTAAAAAAAAATGTTTTTTTAACAGAATTTATTTATATACACAAAATGTAGCGATTGTTATGACGTTGTTGAGTTATTCTCACGTTCCATCTGGAATTGTTACAAACTCGAGAGTCATTTCTTTAATTTTATCAGCATTGTGTTCTACTGCACCATGTAGAAATTCGAGCCATGCTGAATCTCCTTCTTCACATATATGACTTGACTTGGCTCTTTCCAGTAGATTCCGCAGTGTACTAGAGAGTGCATCTCCCTGGTGAAATATAACATATCATATTCAGTTACTTGATTTACTGCAACATTGATTTACGTATGGTGCAACAGAAATAGAGATTTTTGACTGCTTAGAGTTGAACTTTATTATGTTACATATTTGATGGTACACATGTAAGACTATGCACAAACTATAAATATTCAAGAATTTGCTACTCTTCTGAAGTACTGTGGGTCAATTGCTGCGAGACCACATCCTTATCTGCACTATTCTAGGATAAAATTTAAACATACAATAAAATCAGGAATCAAAAGGATGATCAATATTTAGACACACTGAAAAATTTAATTTATTACAAGCAATCTCACAGTCTAAATAGCTCCACTGTCTTTTGTAGAGTGTCTTGCTCAAAACAAAATTGAAAATGTTCTGTGTGATGCGATATTAGCTAGTATTACATATTTTTTTTTAGAAATAGCGCAACAAATCAAACTGTCATTTCTATTTGGTTAGCAAATTAAAAACAAATTGTGTAGCTCTTAAAGTATTGAAAACCTGGATCGAAAACAAATAAAAGTATTTGAAAATAGCACACACTTTCTGAATGCCGAGTCTCAGTTGGGATGGAGGTGTCAAAGGAATTGAGCTGGAAGTTCTCAAGAAAAGTCTAAAATAAGAAAAAACAAGCCATGCATGGACAGTCCCCGTTAGTTATCAAATTTAAGATATATAGTTTTGTTTATAGTAATATAACTGGAATATAACCATGTCAGGGATATGATTTTTTAACATTAAAATACTGGACATTTGTATCTGATCGTTAAACAAGTACTTGTCCATATTGAGAGATATTGCTCTGGAACAGCATTCAAAATCAGCCATTTAGAATACATGTATATATATAATATTATTATACTTTATTTCAGACTCAAAGGTCCATAGAGAAATTACAACAGAAATAACATTATTTATAAAGAAGACGTCTATTATTGCGCCAAAAACTAGACCTTAGGAATAAATCACTATTTATACAACTATCAATTATATTATTGTCACTCTGAAACAATCGCTGTTTAAAATTGTACAATGATTTTCTATGAAGTGTTGAAAAATTGAAAATATTTCTCATGACACAATTACCACTTGCACTGCTCGACCTCTCTAATTTAAAAATATAACATGATGTATAACGAATATATAAAATTTAAATATACAACCTGTAATAAGTCATTTAAGCGATATGGCTCTAAGAAGCCCAATCATTAAAACAAAATGGCCGCCAGTCAGCCATTTTGAATCCATCTGAAAAATAAAATGACGAGCAT